AGCTCACCAAGTTTCTGATGACACCCCGTCCCAAATCCTCAACCTTTGTCACCTAGAAGAACATGGGCAACAGGTACATGGGAGTACCCTGAACTGCAAGCTACTCTCCAAGCCACACACCATCTTGAGTTGAAACTACCTGGTTGTTCCTTCACTGTCTTTAGAGCAATGTCCTGGAACTCCCTTTCTAACATCATTGCAGATGTCCCCACACTCCAAGAACTGCAACAGTTCAAGAGGCTGCTCAACAACACCTATTTTAGGGCAGTTAAGGGTCGCCAGCAATACCATATAATTGAATTAAACAAATGCATTTATGCACAAGAAACTCTACACTTTCCTCTCAAAAGGTGCCTTATCACTTCCAAAGATGGCCTGGGTTTAGATCCAAAGAGGTACCTTATCTCTCCAACAGGGTACACAGCTCTCCAAAAAAATGATGCAGTGAGAACAGATCTGTTCTTTACCTGGTCTAATCTGCATATACTGGGTCCCATACACCAGGGAGTCTAAAATCCGATCTCATTGTAGGCACTTGATCATTTATATGGCTAGCAGCTTTTGGTATCAGGCGTGCGTAAAGTATGGACTGCCCCAAATCCCGTTCTGGCAAAAATGAGATGCTGGATCTTAGGGGCAGGACTTAGGATTCATGGCTTCATCCAGAATTTTCATCACAGTTGAGATGCTGTCCATCATTGCGAAAATCTGAGTCATTACATCACACAGACTGGGGAGCTATTGCCGCTATTCATTCAAGAAAGCAGGACAGTGCGAAGTCCAAAAGTCCATAAGACCATGAGATATAGGAGCAGAATTAGGCCATTTGGCCCTTCAAGTCTGATCCTCCATTTTACCATGGCTATGTTTCTCAACCCCATTCTCCTGCCTTTCACCCATAACCTTTGATCCCCTTACTAATCAAGAACCTATCCATCTCTGTCTTAAGTACACTCAACGACTTGGCCTCCACAGCTTTCTGTGGCAATGAATTCTACAGATTCACTAACTCAGTTCTCAACTCAGTTCTAAAGGATCATCCCATCACTCTGAGGCGGTGCCCTCAGGTCCTAGTCTCTCCTATCAGTGGAAACACCTTCTCCGTGTCTACTCTATCCAGGCCTCTCTGTATTCTGTAAGTTTCAATGAGATCCTTCCTCATCTTTCTAAACTCCATTGAGTACAGACCCAGAGTGAGAGAACGAAATGAAATCTAAATAAGGAGTCCATCAGTTTAACACATGTCACTAACAAAAGAAGTTTTAGAAATGTTCTAATCTGCAGGAAAAATCCAGTTTTCTAGGTTTTTTCCATATTACTTTCTCATCGCTTTGGTGGTACTTTGCTAAAGAAACAGTCGGAAAGGCTGGGAATTAATGTGTCTTATCAGTTAATTGACATTTAATTTCTAACATCCAAATATTTAAACCATGTGAATGGAGAAAAAAAATCATTAGATTGCTGCTGCGTTCAAAGAAAACCTTGCTGTGGTGTCATGTCATGGTAAAGAATATTAAAGCTATGTATTTAGTGAAATCAAAGGAGGGTTTCATGGCAATGTGAAATTTGAACTAATGTTAACTTGTGACGAGCCTAGGAAAGTACTGACACATGAAATGTAAGCAGACAGTTTATGTTGGCACTTTCTCCACTCCTGACCATGGTGCATTACATCAAATCAATTCAAGCTCTCAAATAGTTGGAAAATACAAAAGCTCCTTTATGCTTTACAGTTTCCTGAAATTTGTTGATTTATGGAATTTAATTGGGTACACACTAAGGATAAATTGCTACAAAATTAGAAAGTGCTGCGGCAAACATTTCAGTCACCGCTTAACAAATATTAAGTACTGAACATAGTTTTATTTTAGCAAGAGTGATAATAAGATTAAAAAGCAACTGCAGACTTGCAGAGTTTCTTCAGTTTATACCCAAAAAAACTGAGAGAAAATCTATTGCCTGCTAATTTGAATGGTATCCATAAGTTTTGGTCATTCTTTCACTAACCTATTTAATTGGCTGCATGTTCAGAATTTAATATTACAATGTAAAAATGTTCTTAAATATTTATGTACATAATTAACACACTACTTAGGAGCAGGAGTAGGCCCTTCAGCCTCTCTGTACTGCTCTGCCATTCTGTGATACCGTGCTAATCCAGTTGTGGCCTCAGCTCCAGCAATTCCCACCTACCCCAAGAACTTTTGATTACCTTGTTGGTCAACAATTTAGCCACCTATTCCTTTGAATTATTCAATGACCCCACTTCCACCATTCTTTAGGGTGAGAGTTCCAAAGACTCATGACTCTTTGAGAGAAAAAACACCCTTCTCATCTCTGTCTTAAATAGAATGTCGATTTTTTTTAAACTATGTTCCTTAGTTCTAGTGTCTCCCCTAGGAGAAATACCCTTCAACATTCACTCTGTCGAATCCCCCTCAGGATGTTATGTGTTTCAATAAGATCACCTTTTACTCTTCCAGTGGATACAGATCCAACCTATCTAATCTTTCCTGTTATCACTCCCTCCCCTACTATCCCAGATATCGGTTGGGTGATATTGCATTCTCTGCATTGCTCCGAACACTTTTCCATTCTTTCTTAAATAAGGAGACCAGAACTGTACATACTACTCCAGTCATGACCTCACCAATACTCTACAACTGTAGCAAAACTTCTATATTTCATTACCCTTGCAATAAATGGCAACATTCCATTTGCTTTGATAATCATTTGTTGTTCCTATATTCCAAGATTTTGTGATTCATGTACCAGGACACCCATAAAACCATAATATATGGGAGCAGAATTAGGCCATTCGGCCCATCAAATCTGCTCCACCATTCAATCATAGCTAATATGTTTCTCAACACCATTCTCCTTCCTTCTCCCGATAACCTTTGATCTCCTTACTAATCAAAAACCTATCTATCTCTGTCTTAAATACAATGAGTTCCACAGATTCATCCCCACCTTCTGGCTGAAGAAATTCCTCCTCATCTCCCTTCACTATCTCCCTCTTTACCTCAGAGTTCTGCAATCTTTGTTTAAATAGTATGCTGCTTTTCTATTTTTCCCGCAAAAGTGAATGAATTCACATTTTCTCACATTATTGGGCACCTATCATATTCTCGCCCGTTCACTTAACCTGTCTGTATCCTTTTCAAACTCTTTATGTCCTCTTCACAACAACTTTTTTACTTACTTTGTATCATCAGCAAATGTAGCAAATATGCATTTGGTTCGTTCATCTAAGTCATAGATTGTAAATAATCGTGACCCTAATACTGATCCGAATGGCACACTGCTTATTATAATATGCCAACTGAAAAATGACTGATTTACTCCTACTGCCTGGAACCTTTTAGGCAACCAATCCTCTATTCATATTAACATAATTTTCTAAGTGCCCTGCTCCAACTTCCTTCCTTAAAAAAAACCCAGCATTTTCCCGATGATAGATATCTAATTGGCTTGTAGTTTCTTGTTTTCTGTCTCCCTTCTTTCTCATCTGAGAAGAGACATATTCACTATTTATTATTCTAATGAAGTCTTTCCAGAATCCAGGGAACCATGGAAAGTTAAAACAAATGCATTGCATCTATTATCACATTTTGTTGAGGACCCTAAGAGGAATACCATCAGAACCTGGGACCTTGTCAGTATTTAATTCTGATAACTTTCTCATTATGCTTCCCTGGTGAATGCAATTGTTATATGTTCCTCACTCCCTTTCAAATTAATTCAATTTTTTATGGGCTGTTACTTGTCGTAGATAGATGCGAAATATCTGGAGAAACTCAGCAGGTCTGGCAGCATCTCTGGTGAGGAAAACATAATTAATGTTTAAAGTCCAATATGACTCTTCTTCAACACTTTGTAATTTCAGGTTTCCATTATCAATTCTCACTTTCTGGAGGACCTATGCTCATTTTACATACTCTTTTTATTTATAGCTATAGAAAATACCAATAGAAACTCATACTTTCTGTTTTGTATATTCCTAGCTAGTTTTTTCTCTCTCTCCTCATTATTCTTTAAGTACTTCTTTGACTTTTAAAACTATTCCATCCAATTTTCTGGCCCACCACAACCCTTCATAGATTTATATGCTTTACCTTTCAATTTGATACTATTTTTAACTTCCTGAGGTAACCACAGACATATGCTCTTCTTCAGAGCTTTCATTCTTACTAGAAGGGTTTAGAAATCTGTTTAAAATGTCTGCCACTACATCTCTGCTGACCTTTTTCCTAATTTCCCAATTCACTTTAGCCAGTTCATACTCTTGTTAACCTCTTATTACCCTTATATAAATTTAAAACATGAGTTTTAAATTTCTCTCAAACTAAATGCAAAATTCAATCATGTCATGATCACTGCTACTGAAGGGCACCATTAGTACAAGGTCGTTAATTAATCCTGTCTCATTCCGGGATACCAGGTTGATCTAGAATAGCTTGCTCTATGTTTTGGCTGCAGAAAGTTTTGCTCCAAGAAACTGTCCTGAAAACACACTATAATCTCATCTCCTGGATTACCTTTGCCAATCTGATTCATCAAATCTATATGTAGCTTAAAGTTTACATGTGTAAGGCAGCTTTTACAACTAAAACAACTATCCATAGGTGCTTCACTGTAGGATGATCAGACAAAAAAAGGATGCTGCACCAAAGAAGAAGCTATTAGGAGGGATGCTCACAAGCTTTGTATAGAGCTGTTTTTTTGAGGAGAGTCTTGTAGGAGGAGAAATGGAGAAAGGCAGAGGGAATTCCAGACTGTGGGGCCTAGTTGGCAGAAGGCACAAATATCAGTGGTGGGAGGAATTGACAAGAGGCCAGAATCAGGGCAATGGGGAATTCTTGGGGAAGATTATAGAAGACGCTACAAAAAAATGGCAAGTTGAAGCTCTGAAATTATTTTATTCTATTGGTGAAAATTTCAAGTTGAAAGACTAGGATCTGTTTCTATTGACCATTTTTCTCTGTTTTCTTTGATAGGGGATTTGTTTCATTTGAAAATAAAAGTTATATATTAGAACCCATTGAAGGTGTCACCAATTACACACACTTGATCTACAGAGCGGAAAATCTTAAAGGAAATGTGGGTACTTGTGGACATAACTTCAGAACATCAGCTACAACTGTGGATACTGTTGTTGAGTCCTTACAGAGGTCTTCTACAAGGGTAGGTTAACTGCATTTGCTTAAGGGAATAAAATACTGCTTTGCAATGTGTGGCCAAGTAGCAATGATGTTTTAAGAGGCTTTCTGAAAAGAACTTCCTAATGTAATTATTTTGCAATAAATCTGTCACATATTTGACAGATTCCTAACAGATTTAATTTATATGACTGTTTATCCTGGCAATTATCCTTAGCAATGGTCCATCTTCCAGTATAAAAGATGAGCAGACATAAAGAAGTTGGAGTTGAATGTTTTTCTTTTTATACAAAGCAATATTTTTTGAAAAATGTTAGGATAAACACATTTTTTTGAAAAAAAACATAAGTGGCTATGGGTCTTCTGCCAGTTAATGTAAAACTAGCATTTGGAAAGTTGCGGGATACTAACTCATTGCTGTTAAGGTCAGCAGAGAGCAGCAGATGAGCAGAACATTCTGTGCCTGGCAGAGCTCTGTAATGTCATGGGTTCATTGTTGAACATTGCAATGAAAACATTAGATCTACAGTCCCACACTTGCATCCCATTACCCATTGACCTGATTTGCAGTTGTGGGATGAAGATATCCCCAAATTAAAAGTTGCAAAAACATTCAAGAAGGATGAAAATTAATAAAATAAAAAGATGCATTTGACATTAAATCATCTTAAATATTTTAGAACTGCTGGAAGGTAATATTAAGAACTGCTTTTCCAAGTGCAATAATTTTAGCTAGTGCAAGCAACATAGATGAGCTTGTAAATCAAAATTACTGTGCAGGCTACTTGGACAGAATTTGATTTGGTCAGTGATATTCAGCACATGAAATTGCATACTCTAAATTAAAAATCAGTTGATAAGAAGAAGGAACTGTTGAAGAAATGTTTTAAAAAACACATATTTAATTTTCATGTTTTCTGGATACCTCAAAGTACTTCATGTCAAAAAGTTACTTTTGAAGTGGCCACTGCAATTTTGTGAGCAAGGGAAATTGTAAACTTTTGCACAGTTGAATTCCAAACGGCACAAGTGGCAAGTGAATTTGTAATACTGATGTTGGTTTGGGAAATGGGTGAATAACGTTGACCAAGATATTGGGATGATTTCTTCTTCAGTTCAAATAGGGCATTGAGCTCTTTTACTTCTGCATGAATAGGCAGATGGAACTTCTGTTTAATATCAGTGGAACAGAACTGGATTGAAGTGCCAACCTAGATTACAATTAGATGCTTAAGTCCAACAGTAAAGCTTGAATCCATAACCATCTAACTTGCATACAGGAGATCTATCAACTGCCGCTAGCAATTGAACAACACAGTTTCAATTCCTACCTTTCACATGTAGCAGTTCCATGCATTTTTTAATCTGTTAATTGTACGTAATTCTCAGTATTTAATATACAATTGTTAATGTCATAGCTACACTGAAAAACACTCCTCAGTAATGCGACAACATGATAGATTCACAATCCAATCAAGTAATCTAACTGACTGTCTGTCTATACCCTTAACTGAAAAGAAATTAAACAACAGTGTTCAATTGTGTTATAAGATAATAAACATCTCCTAAGCAATCTTGACATTTAAATTGGGACATTTGTCACAAGCAGACTCCATATAACTGAAAACCATTAAAGTTATAAATGCTTGTTTTTACACTTTCACTTGCCTACAAGGGCCCGGAAACAGGTGTCTGTTTGGTTGTTAACAGATTAGTAACTTTGTCATTTGGAAAACTGCCTCCAGGATAAAGTTCAGTTGCAAAATTGAGTGTGTAATAAGACAATGATTCTGTGTTCATTTTTTTTACAGCCTCAATTCCAGAAAGAAAAAAAATAAATGGAACTATATAAATATGACAGGAAACTGTGAAAAAAATGAAAATTCTTCAAACAATAAAAACCCAAGTTTTAAAAATATGTGTCTAATTTTCACATTTTATATGAAATAAGAAAATAATTCCACAGAAAAGAGAGAAAATATCCTGAGCCTCATACTGCCACAAGATTCCTATGTTGATATTACTAGCATATCAGGTGAATACTGGCAATGTCAACATACAAGGATTTTTATTAGAAGTGTTAATAAAATAGGATTTAGTTCATGATTAAAGAGAAATTGAACTCAATATGTGGTAGGCATTGTACATGTTGATGAGGGCCACATGTTTTAAATCTGAAGAATGTCCAAATTTCCCAATGTTTGGCACCCTAGTATTATCATCTGGCGACAGAAAGCTGCTGTGTCTCCAAACCAATTAATGACTTTGCTTTGTAAGCAGAAAATGTTCAGTTTCCAACTTGTTTTCCCTACATAGCAGAAATGCATAAAAAAATTATCTCCATAGAACATTCTATCCTTTTGTAAATCTCCTTTCTGTAAAGACCATGTACTAGTTTTAGAGGAAGAGAGGGAGAGGTTTATAGATGGAAATCTGAGACCTTCAGATTTTGTTGAAGACACAACCACCAGTGACAATGAATGTGTGAAATGCACAAGATTCCTGAGTTGGAGGTAAAACGGAGTTATCGGAGGTTTGAAGGACTGGAAAGTATTACAAAAATAGAGGAGGATTTTAGCACAGACCTTTGAGTTCTAAATTGGAAATTTTCAGGGACTGACAATGTTGATTGGCTAGTCAAGTATGAGTGAATTTGGTGAAGGTTGGAATACAGAAAGCAGAGCTTTGGATAAGCTGAACTTCATGGAGAATAGGAGGATGACGAGAAGTGCACTGGATTAGGTAGGTTCTGGATGTACACAAGTATCTAATAGTGACTAGGCCAGAGCACCTCACAGATTTTGTGAGCTATTTTGTGTACAGCCTCCAGCAGTCTCTTTAAAGATCACTAGCTTGTCCACTGATCACCTAATACACGTATACGCAAACTCTGGCCATTCGCACCTGAGAGTTCTAATTGGAGACCTAAAGCCAGTGCAGAACCTTGGCTTTCATATTTAAGCAACTTCATGTCCATTTCAGGCTACTTGTCCATTTGGTGCCTGTCTAAAAATTACGCCAGATAGGACTTATGCAATTATAGGCCAACTGACGTGACCTCTCTGTCAGATCTTCAATTGCAGTCTGTTTTGTTTTGATGAGAAATGGTTTTTAAAATTGTCTCTATTTATGTTAACTACTTTTGGTAAGACATTAATTAGAGAAAAAGTTTGTTTTGCATTTTCAACAAAATATGTCAGACTAGGAAGCTTACACGTTAATGTTTATCTTTTCTATAAAATTACCAATAATTTGATGGTGCATTTGAACCTTAATTTTATCATTGATGACAATAGATTCCACTATTACTCTGAAAATGAGATTTGACGCAACTCTGGCGACCTGTAAAATTTTAAAAACCAACCTCAAGTTCATTGAATGTGTAGAAAGTCTAGGCTCTCCCAACCACCAACTCCAGAAATTTAAACATGCGCTGGGGGAGTGGAGCTCTCACCATTCCTGTATTAATGAGGTACTGGTTGGCTGGACGCAGTACTACCTTCACAGATCACAGATTACAGGGGATGTACCCTAACAGAGGTTGGGTTTTAGAAGAAGTTCACATGCTGTCTCTTCAAAAACAAAAACAGAAATTGCTGGAGAAACTCAGCAGGTCTGGCAGCAGAGCTAACATTTTGAATCCAGTGACTCTGTTTTCTCTCCACGGATGTTGCGGTCTAGCAGAGTTTCTCCAACAATTTCTGTTTTTGTTTCAGATTTCCAGCATTAGCAGCTCTTCATTTTATTTTTACTGTCTCTTCAAAAACTCATTTCATTTGACGTCATATAGAGTTAAAAATAGTTAATTATTTAAACGTGATTTATATGCATGTGGTGTTTATGTCACAAAGAGCTTATAAAGCTTTGTGATATCTTCTTTATAACGTCCTCTATTATAGGGTATGTAAATAGACTTTGAGAGCTTTTTAGAATTAGCAACTTATTATCTGTACCTTGTTTTGCAGCACAAAAGAGACATATCGAAGACCACTAAATATGTGGAACTTGTTATAGTAGCAGATAATCGAGAGGTAGGATATTAACTTACTTTCAGTTAAAGGTACTTCAGTCTCA